ATAGAACTGGGGTTGCTTTGTGCCTCCCAAGCACAAGAATTCTGATAAGTTCTATTTTGTGTGATTTACATAAAAGAATATTGTGGGCTTGTTACTGCATACGATGCTTACTCAGTATGTTCCTGGCAGGACAGAATTTTTGTTTTGACCGGGCATGTATGAGAATTAAATCCTCTGCTTATAATTGTACATATCTTAAGATTGGCAGAATTTTTCACAGACTAGCTTCTTGCTTCATTATTTTGGAAACCTGTTTCTTCTTCAATACCCATATGCTTTTAATGCTCAGTACAATAGGTCATGTTCATATTGCAGTATGACCCCTGGCATTGCCAAAGCAGGCAGTGGGAATGAGGCCAGAAGCCATTCCTGCCCCAGAATAGCTAGCAATAACTTAACTAGATGTGAAAGTAAACCACATAAATATAACCTACTTAACCCAGACTCTGTGGATCTTCAACTCAACTTCCCCTTAGCTGAATCCTAAACCCGTGGTCTCTCCAACACCACCCTACTGATGGGCAAGTGTAACAGAGGATGAGTTGGAGAGGAAAGAGACAGAGGTCTCCTCTAATTGTGGCTAACATACTTCCAAATTTTACAAAAGCATGTTACCACGTGAACACATTGATTGCCCCCCCCCTTGAAAGAGAGAGATGTGGGCACATGAGGGCCATGGAATGTCATTAACTTCAAGATAAATCTGTCCTGCCAAAGAGAAATGAGTCCTGTTTGGATGAGCCACCTATTCACAGCACATTTGCACATTTACAGCATTGGTGCATTGGGGTGCTTGTGGGCAAATGCAGGTTAGTGTGTGTGACCACCAACAGGTAACAGTTGCTTACCTTCCAACAAATTCAGGAACCGAATAGAATTTTCCTATGTTTTAAGTTTCATTCCTTAGGAAAGTGATGACCTCATTAGTGTGTTCACATGTCATTGAAAGGTGTCTGCCTTAGAAAGTAAAGGCATTTTAGTAAACTGGCAAGGAGGAGACTCGTGGAAGGATCATGAAAGGGGTGGATGGTGCTCAGACCCTGGGCAGGTGAAAGAGAGCACGGTAAGATGTCCTAATTATCAGTTTAAGCTTTCTCTTTTGCATACTTGTATTCTATAAGTGAATAGTCACAGGAATGATTTCAGCTGGAGTACTAGAATACTCAACTAATAGTGGCTTAAATAATAGAGCTTAAAATAATAATGGTAATTAATCCTTAGTACGAAAACTTTGAAGGTAGGTGATTTGCTAATTCTGATATGTTGGGACAATTTGTCCTTTTCTCTATGATTTTCATGGTGGTTGCCACAGCTCTACACGTCATTCATCCAGAGGCAGAAAATGGGGGGCAGGGGCACTGAGAGAATATGTGCCTTTCTCCTTTTAGCAAGGAGGACAAATCTTTTCTAAACATTTTCCTACTAGAATTCCTCTCTAGGTCTGATTGGCCCAAACTGGGGACATGGACATCCCTAGGTGTAAGGGGGAATTGAGATGGTGGCTCTGGCAAAGGGACATGGGAGTTTCATGGTTGGTTTAGTCATGCTTCATCATTCTGGGCTGGGCATATGGTTTTTCTGAACAAAAATATAGATTCTATTATTAAGAAGAAAAAGGGAGTGGCTATTAGGAGGCAACTAATGGTATATACAACTGAAACTTTTGTGTTGAGTATCCTAAAACTATCTTTTACTTGTCAATTACTAAAGTATTATAAATCAAGAAATACATGAATACAAACTATCATTCAGTTAGCCAATACTCTGTGCCAGGATCTGTTGCTAGATGTTAAAGATACTTTCCTGCAGTTAGCCTGCAAGATGGATATTATTATCATTATTTTATAGAGAGATTAGATTACCTTCCTATTAGGGAAATAAGTGGCTCCATTTTGATTTTATCATTAAAGCCTTTGCCTTTCTTGAACATCAAATAAATCATATACGATATTCCCCTTTGTTTCTTGCTCAATATTAGGCCTGTGATTCATTCATGTTGTTAAGAATATCATCATTCATTTTTTATTGCTGTGTATGATTCCACTGCTGGAAAATATCATGATTTATTTATCCACTCTACTGTGGATATTTGGGTTGTTTTCAGTTGAAAGATATTATGAATAAAACTGTTTTTTAACATTCTTAATATGTACCTTTTGGCATTCCTTTCTGTTGGATTTACATGCAGAAGCAGCGTAGGGTATTTTTAGCTCTAGTAGATATACTTTACATTTAAGGGTTTAAAGATTTTTAAATCTTTAATTAAATTTGGAAGACTTAAATATTTTGAAATCTTTAAAAGATTTCCAAAGTGGTTGCACCAAGTTACACTCCCACCAGTAATTTATGAAAGAACCATCTGCCAGTGTTTGGTTTTGTTGTAGAGAAGGTGATAAGACATATGGAAAAGGAAAAGTTGGGCAAGACAAGGGGGATTGTTAGGGCTGGGGAAAGTGGAGCAGGTTGAAATTCTAAATAGAGTAGTTAGGATACTACTCTATTTTTTTTTTCTTTTTGAGAAGGTGACATTTGAGCAAAGCCACAAAGGAGGCAAGGAAGTGAGCAATGCAGGCACATGGGAAATGTTGGAGGCAGAGGGAGAGCCACTGCAAAGGCTGTTAATAGAGACCATGTGTGTTCAAGTCAGGGTAACAGGTCAGTGTGGAAGAAGAAGGGTGGGGTCTCCTGGGTGGCTCAGTCAGTTGAGCATCTGACTCTTGGTTTCAGCTCAGGTCATGATTGGCATCTGGCTCTGCATGCTCAGCAGGGAATCTGCTTGAGAGTCTCTCTCCCTCTCCCTTTGTCCCTACACTCCCTGCCCCCACTCACTTTCTCTCTCTCTCTCTCTCCCTCAAATAAATAAACCTTTTAAAAAAGATTTTATTTATTTATGAATGAGAGGCACAGAGAAAGAGAGGCAGAGACACAGGCAGAGGGAGAAGCGGGCTCCATGCAGGAAGCCCAATGTGGGACTTGATCCCAGGACCCTGGAATCACACCCTGAGCTGAAGGCAGTGGCTCAACCACTGAGCCACCCAGGCGTCCCACAAATAAATAAATCTTTTTTAAAAAAGAAGAAGCATGAGTGAGGGGGAAGCAATAGAAGATAATATGGGAGGCACATGGTGTCCGAGCCACAGGATCTTTGAAGACATGGGAGGACGTCTCCTTTTACTCTGAGTGACACAGGGAGTCACAACAGCATTTTGAGCAGATGAATGACATAATCTGACTTACATTTTAAAGAGGTCATTCTGGAGGCTGGGTTGAGAGCAGGCTGTAGGATGGGAGCAGAGAGAGCAGTTAGTAAGCTATCATGGGAAGTGATGGTGGTTTTTGGATTAGAGTGGTGGCACTACTGAAACTGGTTAGATTCTGAGGGTATTTTGAAGGTAAAGCCATCATTTTTTTAAAGCCATTATTTTAAAAAAAATTGATTTATTTGAGAGAGAGAGAGCTGTGTGCGCATGCTTGCACACATGCAAGCAGAGGAGGGGCAGAGGGTGAGGGAGAGAAGCAGACTCCCTGCTGAGCAGAGCCCAACACAGGGGTGGGTGTGGGAGGCTCGCTGGATCTCACCAATCTAAGATCATGACCTGAGCCAAAACCAAGAGTTGGAGGCTTAACTGAGCCACCCAGGTGCCACAGAGCATAAAAATGATTTTTTTATTGACATCACCAGCTTTAGCATTAGCAACACTATGGGGATAATAATGGTTATCATTTTTCAACCTCTTACTGTGTCTATACTCAGTGTTTTATTATCCTCATAAACTAAAGTTCAAAGACATTAGGGAACCTCCCTAAGAACACACATTTCATAAGAGATTAGAGACCAGGGGTTCAATCTTAGCTCTAGCAGATGTCAAAGCGACTGCTCCTAAAACTCCTTTATCACTAGGATCTGGTTCCCTTTTTGCCTACCCCAGTCAGTGCCTTATACATAAACAGGTGATCAATATCTTTATATTGAATTCATTGACACCATTCACTGTTTCCTGAACTTTGCTTCCGAATTTTCTTAAAAACATGGTTTTACTGTTACATTTATATACAGCTAACTTTACTTTTTTGGGTATATAGTTCTATGACCTTTTAACATGCATAGATTTGTATAATTGTTATCACAATCAGGATGTAGACAATTTTCATCCCTTTCCCCCTCCTCAAATTCTCTTATGCTGCACCTGTGTAGCCAAACCCTCTCCCACCCGTAATTCCTGGGAACTACTAATCTGTTCTTTATCTCTATCGACTATAAACATGAGTGTACAAGTTTTTGTGTGAGCATAAGTGTGCAGTTTTCTAGGGTAAAAACCTGGACATGTGTTTGCTGGTTCATGTGGGTAAGGTTTAACTCTGTAAGAAACTACCAACTTGTTTCCAAAAGCAAATATATCATTGTGCAAGTCAACCAGCACTGTATGAAAGTCATAGTTGCTCTTTATCTTTGTCAATGATTGGTATTGCCAATTTTGTTTTTACATATATTTTAGCCATTCTAATGGGTATGCAGTGGTACGTCATTGTGGGACACCACTTATTTTTGAAATGTACAGTGAAAGTGTTTTGAGACTCCAGAATATAATTTATAGGCTAAATTCCAAATGATTTGTAAATAAATGCAGTATAGGCATACTTGGAAAAATTTACCCCCTGCCTTTTTGATCTTTCCATTTGGAGATTGTGTTATTATGATATAACACATATAAATAACACAACCTGCTTGCAAGACTTCCAATAAGAAGTTCCCTATGAAATAGGCCTAGGCTTTGCTTTTCTTTTAGGGATATTGTAGAAGTTAGATCATCAAAGCTCATGAGATAATGAATGGAAAATTGCTTTAAGGGACAAGGACATATGTTACTACTCTTATAAAAGATGCAGTTACTTCTTAACGAAATGAGGACTGAGTACCTAATATAGCGAAAGTATCATGTAAGATACGTTCTATGGAGAATGTAAGTATAAAACAGAGCTTCTATCCTCATGGCATTTATTATGTGTTACGCAGAGAAGTAAAATGTCAAAACAATTTGAGTAACTATTCCGGTAATGCAGGAATACACATTATAAGGCTTTATCTAATTTTGTAGAATGATTGTACAAGCAATAAAATATCATGCACATTTTTCTATGACACACACGTATACGTTTATACGGTGCACTATCACAAAGTATTTGTTTCCTCTCACAATAACCCGTGAGGTTCCTAAGTCCAGGATTAGCTCAGTTCCCTAAGCAGGTGAAGAAATTTGAGCTGGGCTCAGCAGAACAGGTGAGGTCTTGACATTAGAGAACAGGGAGAGGACATTCCAAGCAAATAAAGTGTCACAAGCCAAAGTGCAGAGATGGAAGGTGCAAGTACATGTCTACCTGTGAGCAGATCAGTAGGCCTGTTGACCGAGGAGTACTAGTGACAGCTGTCGTCAATTGGGCATCGACTGTGTGGCAAGCACCAGGCTAAGGCCGATACACAGGCTACCTTATTAAAATATCAACCACCAAAAAATATATATATAAATAAAAAAATAAAACAGTAAAAAAAAAATATCAACCACCTTGCATAGAAACGAAGGATTTAGAACCTTCCACACAGTTACATAGCCAATAAGTTGGGGACCTGGGGTTCTAGCCCAGGCTGTCTAATTCTAGCCCCTGACCTGGACACTACACTTAACACTAAGGCTAGAAAGGACGCTCGAGGCCAGACGGTGGAGGGCTGGGATGCTGGAACTTTTGCCCAGAAGGCTCGTGGTTCTCTATCTTTTCCTGAGCGCGGTACCTTTGGGGAACAGGGTACCTGGAGGGACGACACCTCCAGAAAGTGGCTCAGCACCAGCACGGTCCGGGAAGGGCACGACAGCTCCAGCCTGTGTGTGCCAATGCTGCTCCACCTGTCCTGAGACGGGTGTGCCTCTCAAGGAAGGGTCCCTTTGGCCCATCTCCACCAGAGAGACGCCACCAGAGCCTGGAAGCCTTCAGCAGAGAGCTCGGGGGACCTCCCCTGAGTGTCCAGGCCAGGGTCCCCGGCGGTCCGCCTAGCTTGGGCGCGAAGACAGAGCTCGGCGGGCCCGGGGACAGCTGTCTGCGGGGACCTGGTGGGGTCTGGGGACTAGGAGGCTCTGGGGGCGACGGGGAGGGTGCATTTAGGCCGCAGGGACTTCGCAGACTGTGTCTTCACGGGGAGCGCCGTCCCCGCAGCACCGAGCCTGGGAGCCTGTTGTCACGTCGGCCGCGGCCACCAGAGGGCTTCCCCGCCTCGGCCGAGCCAGCCTGGGGCGCAGGGGCGCTGACGGTCCGGCGAGGCCCTGGAACGTCGGGGCTTGGGTCTCCAACAGTCGCTTTTCATGGACACGCAGGGCTGGAAGGTCTCCGGCTCCACTGACAGTGGCTGGAAACGGGGCGGAAGGTGGAGGGATGACTTGCGGATTGCAGGTGCCGGGGGAGCCGGGAAACTCAGGCGTGAGGTTGTCCCAGGTGCCCGGGCGCCCAGGTTAGAGACCCTGCAGGAGCCCGCGGCTGGAGCGGCCTGGGCCCGTGCGCACGAGTGTGTGGTGCACGTGTAAATATGTGGGCACGTGTATACACGCATACAGGTGCACGTGTGTGAGTGTGTGCGGGCGAGGGGGCGTGTGCACGTGTAAATAGGCGTGCATGCCTGGGAGAGCGTGGAGCACCTAAGCATGCCTCCGGGAAACAAGGAAAACAAATGATGAGGTGAAGGGAAGTGAACTGGCGTCTCTGCTTCAGCACTAATTAGCTCCCATCAGTTTTGACGGAGCCGAGATGCGAGACGCCAGTGAGCAAAGGCTGGAAAGCTCAGCGGCGGGGGGTTGTGCGGTCGGAAAAGCCACTGAAAAGCCACTGGGCAGCAGGCTCGCAGAGCAAAGGCCATCTCAGGAGCCTGGGGCCTGGAGCCGAAGATGGGCCATTCCCAACCTGAGACGCAGGTGTCTGCGTCCTCTCCGCCCGGCCAACAGCTCTGCGCGCTGGTCGAGGTCTTTCTAAAGGCCACCTCCCTTTTTGAGGGGTTAACAGCTACCTGCCTCACCTTCCCCTGGCAGTTTTCTCTATCTCCTTGCCAGGCTGGCCTCTGTCACATTTCCCCGAGATGTGGGGACAGCCCTCTTACTCACCAGCTGCTCAGGCGCCTGGCTTCAACCTGTGTCTGCACTCGGTCATGTTGCCTTATCCTTGGGCTCTCCTTTGAGCACCTGTGAAGGGTTGGAAGCACAATGGTGAAGGCAGAAACATGGATTGTTGGGGGGTTGGTGAGAAGGAGCTGCTCTTTCATCTCTAGACCTGTGTGTATGTGTACTTGCGTGGGAGTGAGTGGGAAGGGTGGTGAGAGAAAGTGATGTTAGAGAAGCCGGAGGCAGGCCGTCACCCCTCATAGCTGGGGTCCCTGGCTGCAGGCCCCGCATAGGCCCAGAAACACTGGTTCAGCTGGGCCATGAGTGTCCCCCAACTGGCTAAAGTACATGCCCAACCTCAGAGCACACGGTCTTTCCTGGGCTCTCACAGGCGCTTTCCGAACACCAGGCCCCTCGAGCAGCATGGCTATGAGATTTTTTTTTTAAAGCCCCTCCATACGCTGCAAGTTCTCCTAATACTTGTATACTTGAGTGTGTGGGGAGGGCCACTTCATCATTTCATTTACATCCGATAAATCAAGAGTCGTTGCTCCTTAGAAATTCTTTGTAACACTTGTGGTTTGTTGTTAGTCTTTTAATAGTCCCTGTTCTTATTTGCCTCTTCAGGGCACAAGTGGCCCAGTCCCGATTTCCTTCCCAATGCGGCTCTTCCTTCATAGTTCACTAGATTGAATAGTTGTGGGAGTTCTTAAACTTTAATAATAATAATTTTTAAAAAAATCTCTTGAGGAGCTTGTTTTATTTTTTTCCATTGTTGATTTTTGATCTTTCTTTCTTTCTTTCTTTCTTTCTTTCTTTCTTTCTTTCTTTCTTTTTCTTTCTTTCTTTCTTTCAAGTAAATTCTACCCCCAATATGGGGCTCAAATTCAGGACCCTGAGATCAAGACTTGCATACTCTACCAACTGAGCCAGCCAGATACCCTGAGTAGATTGTTTTATTTTTTTTTTAAGATTTTATTTATTTATTCATGAGAGACACAAAGAGAGAGGCAGAGACACAGGCAGAGGGAGAGGCAGGTCCCCGCACGGAGGCTGATGCAGGACTCAATCCCAGGACCCTGGGATCACCACCTGAGCCAAAGGCAGACACTCAACAACTGAGTCACCCAGGCATCCCTGAGTAGCTTGTTTTAAAGGTGGATTTCTAAAAGGAGCGAAGGAAGGAAGAAAGAAAGATTTCTCAGGCCCCACTCAAATCTATGGCATCAGAATTTCTGAAGCGAAGAACAGGAGTTTACATTTTACCACACCCCCAAGATCCTAAGTCAGGTGGCCTAGCTCAGTTGGTTGAGTGCCTGACTCTTGATTTGGGTTCAGGTCATGATCTCAGGGTCATGAGATCAAGTCCCTCACTGGGCTCTGCACGCATTGGGGAGTCTGCTTGGGATTCTCTTTCTCCCTCTCCCTCTGCCCCTCCCCTGCTCCCTTCTCTTTCAAAATAAATAAATAAATCTCTTTTAAAATTAAAAAAAAAAAAGAATACATGCTGAAACGTGGTGCTGAAGGATGCCTTGGATCCATTTTTTTTAAATGTTGAGTTTCTAGAGTTATTTATATGTCTTCTAGACACAAGGCCTTTGTTGGTTGCGTGATTTATAAATCTTTCCTCCCAGCCTCTTATTTGTCTTTTCACCCTTTTACAGAGTCTTTCACAAAGCAAAAGTGTTTAATTTTGATGAGGTCTAATTTGTAAATTTTTTCTGTGATAGATCATGTTTTCAGGGTCAAGTCTAAGAACTCTGCCTAGCCCTGGATCCCAAAGATATTTTCCTGTGTTCTTTTCTACAAATTTTACAGTTCTATGTTCACATGTGAGTCCACGATCCATTGTGAGTTAATTATTGTATTAGGTGTGGGGTTTGGGTCCAATTTTTCCAGCATCATTTATTGAAAAGGCTATTTCTCCTCCATCGGATTGCTATTATTCCTTTATCAAAACTAGTCGGGAGGGGATCCCTGGGTGGCTCAGCGGTTTGGCGCCTGCCTTTGGCCCAGGGCGTGATCCTGGAGTCCCGGGATCGAGTCCCACGTCGGGCTCCCGGCATGGAGCCTGCTTCTCCCTCTGCCTGTGTCTCTGTCTCCCTCTCTCTCTCTCTCTCTCTATGTCTATCATAAATAAATAAATAAATCTTTAAAAAAAAAAAAACTAGTCGGGAGAATATTTGTGTGGCTCTAGATCTGGGTTCTTTATTCCGTTCCACTGATCTATGTGCCTCTTCCCTCCATGCTGTTTTGATACTGTAGTTATACGTAAGGCCTTAATGTTGGAAGAGTGATTTCTCCCCTTCATTCTTGTTTTTCAACATTGTCTTGGCTATCCTAGGGCCTTTTCCTTTCCATATCAATTTTGGAATAAACTTCTCAAGGCCAGCAAAGAAACCTGCTCAGATTTTGATGGGAATCATGTGAATGCCGATCAGTTTTAGGAAAGGACTGTATTTTTTTTCTTGCAGCAGAATTTTTGGAGAGCAAGGTTTAACCAGAGCGGTTCTAAAGTCTTACCTTGTTAAATGTTTCTTGCTTGGGATATACTTCTACTTTCTGGTTGCAGAGAAAAAACTATGTGGAGAAATGGGGCAGCTACAGCTGGTGCAAGGTTCACGAATAAACCTTCTTCCAACCTAGAATCCTAGGAACTAAGTAGATGCAACGCTTCAAATTGGCTCCTTTAGGGCACATTCTAGCTTCTTGGGATTCCTCTGCCGTCTTTAGGAAAACAGAACAGAGATGCCTTAAGAGAAGTAGGTTGTACTTCTTGGGTCTGTGGGAACCAAATGTTTACTTTATTCCCTCCATCCTCACATCTACAATGCCAGAGATGAAAGATTGAATGAATTTAAGGGATTACTGGAAACACGCCACTCACCAGCAGGAATTGTTTGGAGGGTGGGAGAAGATATAGTGGCCCAAAAAAGGATGGTTTTGTTGAAGGTCTTTTTTTTTTTTAAAGATTTATTTATTTAATTGTTCATGAGACACACACACACACACACACACACACAGAGAGAGAGAGAGAGAGAGAGAGAGGCAGAGACACTGGCAGAGGGAGAGGCAGGCTCCATGCAAGGAGCCCTACGCAGGATTTGATCTGCGGACTCTGGGATCATGCCACCACTGAGCCACCCAGGCATCCCTGTTGAAGGTCTCAAGATCTCACGCTCCAAGGGGCACCTGTGAGGGGGGTGGGGTGCAGTCGGTTGAGAGTCCAACTTTTGCTTTCAGCTCAAGTCATGATCTCAGGGTCGTGAGATTGAGCCCTGAGCAAGCCCCTCACTCAGATGGGAGTTTCCTTCTCCCTCTGCCCCTCCCTCTGCTCATGCTCTCTTTCTCTTTCAAATAAATAAATCTTTAAAAAACCAAAAACAGGGGCACCTGGTGGCTCAGTCTGTTAAGCATCTGCCTTCAGCTCAGAACATGATCCCAGGGTCCTGGGATGGATCCCCGCATCGGGCTCCCTGTCAGTAGAAGAGTCTGCTTGACCCTCTCCCTCTGCCTGCCGCTCCCCCTGCTTGGGCACTCTCTTGCTTGCTCTCAAATAAATAAACAAAATCTTTACAAAGAAAAACAGAAACAAAACCAAAAAGCCCTCATGCTCCAGAATGCCTGCTTGTGTGCTCTTCATATTTCTTGTCCATTACGGAAGCAGCTGGCAACATGAGTTCCTCATGTTCCTACATCCTTTTCTTCGGCATCATTCTTCCTCCCAGTCACACCCTTTAGTTCTCCAATTTGTTCTCATTTTTAGTCAGTGATTCAGATATTTGGCATGTTAACGTTCATGTTAACACCAGATGAAGTGAACTCGGTTTCATTTCTGTCCTCATCTAAAAGTTGGCCCCAAACCAGTTCAAAGAATCTCTGAATTTTTCCTTTTCCAGTGTAAGCTACGTGTGACACCCCCGTTAGTGGTCTGAGGTAAATTGGCTTTTGTGACGGGTGTCATATGCAGGGAGCTACAAGGACACATTTGATAAAAGGGACTACTTACCTGGAATTTGCCCTCAGAACACTGTAATCTTGACCGTGTCAGTTCTGTGCACCCCCAGAGCTTTAGTGGGTTCTTTAATCCTGACTTGTATAGGGGTCATCAAAAGCTGTATTGAGAGTGACTAACTCCCCATGTGGAATGAGAACTGGATCCAGTCAGCTAAACAACTTGTATTGTATCAGTAACATCCAAATGTGGTATCCACCCAATCAGCTTCCAGAAGCATCCAGTGTGGCATAAGCTAAAATGCCTCCGTCTTAGGGAATTAGTGACACCTTTAATTGGGTGTGGCTGAAGAAATGACTTTACAGAAGCTAAAAACCTCTTCCCCAACTCCTTCTCCCAGTTTTCGTTGTCCTGTATTACCCATCCTCTTGTGTCTTCTGCTGTGTCACACTGGAATGGTTCCTTCTGTAACTGGCGTGGTCACCGGGTCCCATTCCCCCAGTAGTTCCTTCCTGTGAGAGCATCTCCAGGGCCTGTGGGCTGGAACCCAAGGGAAATGAGGGTGGAGTGTTGCTGAGCTAACCCAGCAGCTACATATGCTTTCTGCGTTCTCTCCTTGGACAATGAGCGCACACGACTGCCTTGCTTAGGCCTTACAGAAGCTTGTCGGGCAGGGCTCAGCACTATGGAGACAGTAATGCTGTGGGACTAAGGCATCCACTGTCTGTTCTTTGCTAAACTCACGTCCATCACTAGTGCAAAAATTGCAGCCATCATCCTTCTCCCCCACCGTTTCTGCCCCAATCACCTCCTCCCAGGCCGGCCAGACTCTCTCCCTCGATCTGCAGGAGGAAGAGGGGATCTTCTTGGGTAAACACAGGGGCGCCCTGGTTTCCTGGTTACACCACTCTGTCCTTCCTTGGCCCGAGGCCCTTGCACTAATTGCAGAGAGCTCTCAGTTCATAGGGGCTTGCTTCTTTCAGTGGTTGCTCGCTGCAGAAACTGCTAGACAGGGGCGGGTGGGGGGGTGCTATCTCTCCCTGACATCTGCATGGACTCTGTCTCTATAGATTGCGGGGATGAGAGTGCTTTTTACGAGAGTAGCTTTTGTGGTGGGACGTCAGAAGCTTCCAGATTGCACATAACCTAAAACAGGTTTTCCTCACTGAGCAGAAGCCATGGATACTTCCTGTGTTGCAATACGAGCTCATTAGGGCCGTGGGGCTGGGAGCCTGGAGTGGGCGGTGGGGCGCTGTCCTGGCTGCAGAGCGCTTCCTACAGGTCCCTCCCTGCTTCTGTCGCCTGGGCAGGACGGAGCCACCCCCCTTCCTCTTCCCCGAGCCCTGTCCCTGCTCAGCACCCCTGTGCCCTCTCTAATTTCCCTCTTCCTCATGCAGTCCAGCTGCCTGTTGAGGCTTCTCTCCCGGTATCTACAGCCTTCTGATCAGCTGGTGATTTACCTTCAATCAGGGCCAGACTGTGGTCCCCAGATTCACACCTCTTCCTTCGCTTAGTGAGGAAAGGGTCGCCTTCCCTTCCTGCCACCGCTTTCCCTGGTAGCCGCCTGTCGTGCTGAGTAATACAGTCCTCCAAGTGGGAAGGTGTAACTGGCAGTGCGAGAACGCACCTGTCCGAAGCCGTCCAGGTGACCACGTCCATCACAGGCAAGTTCGAATCCTGGCACCCGAGGAGGGGCTTTCACGCCCAGTCTCATGTCCAGTCTCAAGTTCTTGAGTTGTTCATGTGAAATCTAGATGGCTAGAAACTTCTTGCTGTTTCCCTCCAGCCAGGAATTCATTTCCTTGCAGGCCGCCGGGTCGGGCCATCCTGGGTGGTCAGGGATGGGGAGGGCGCTGCAGGGCCTGGTGGCCGAGTCCCATCCCCAACAGTTAGCGTCATCGGGCCAGGAAGCTGCCAGCCAGTACCAGTACCAGATGATTTTTGAGGCTCATGAGGCTGGTTGAGTCGCGTGGAAGAGACATTAAATCTGGAGGACGAAGAGAGCAGACAAGAGGAGAGTCGGAGCCTGAACGGGGCACAGATGGGCCGAGGGGTAGTTGAAATGCACCCACCTTCCCCGGGCTTGGCCAGCGGGGGACGTGCTCTCAAATGGCCAGTGGGAGCCATCCGTCAGTTTTAGTCTCGTCCAGGCAAGATCTCCGGTGGGACATGATGGGGCTGGAAGCCCTTGCTCCTGCCCACGCCTCCAGCTACTTGCCCTCACCAGAAACCATCATGCTCTCTCTGGCCCTTGAGGCTGAATGTGTCTCCTTCCTCCGAACCCCTGTAACATGGATTAGTATTCATTGCAATAAATAATGTATTGATAATGTATTATATTCTTGACATTATATTAATATATGTTAATAATAATATATTACTGTGCATTTATATATTAGCATTATGTGTCATATAATATTAATATTATAGATAACATTATACAACATTAAGAAAATATATTGGTATGTTACGTAATAACTTTATTTATTTATTTATTTATTTTTTGCCTTTTTTTTGGGGTCTTGGTTTTAATTTTATAAATTAATTTTTATTGGTGTTCAATTTACCAACATACAGAATAACACCCAGTGCTCATCCCGTCAAGTGTCCCCCTCAGTGCCCGTCACCCATTCACCCCCACCCCCCGCCCTCCTCCCCCTCCACCACCTCTAGTTCATTTCCCAGAGTTAGAAGTCGGGTCTTGGTTTTAAATGGGAACTTCTTCAAACTGTTTTCCCTACCTGCAGACCCTCCAGACCCTCCAGACCCTGGTCAGGTGCTCTACCTCCTTGCCCTTAGAACCCTGTATTCACAGGTAATGTGCATCCATGTGCCTTTTTGTATCCTTCATTAGACTGTAAGCTTAATATGAAAGCCAGAAGGGATGTGTATAGTACAAGATTCAGCACATTGTGCCCCCCAAATAGTTGGGCTTGGCTATGGAGAGGCAGCCAGGGAATTTGGGAATTTCTGGAAAAGGAACACAAAAACTCACAGGTAAACTCCAGTGTCTAGAGGGCAGAGAAGGGCCCTTCATAAGTCAGTTACCACTTACTGAGAATATTTCCCATGCTGGGTACCGGAGTCCCCCCAAATAACCAGAGCACACTTGGAAATTGATAGAGGTTGCTCAAGAAGCAGGAGAGTGAACAGTCAGTCATTTGGGAGATCTGTCCTGAGTTTAGTGGCCTAGCCACCAGTCTGGGGTCTAGGGTCAGGGCTCTTCTCAGAGGGAGGGCTAACGAGGGTCTGAGAGAATAGCAGGCTCCCAGCTTCGACCTGGTCCTGAGAATGGGCCCCCAAGGAACACCAGGCAGCACCAGATCCCACTGGCTGCCACTGAGGCCATCAGATCCTGGCTGATCTCAGCAGGGGATGCAGATCCATCAGTTTTCAGATGTGCTACGGCCCTGGGCCAGGAAGGAGACTAAACTACACAAAGTCTGTTAAGTCCTTCCTACTTCTCATACCTCAGAATTGCCTCTTAGGTTTAATAAAAATTAGATTCCCAGGCTTCTCCTTACAGCTACTGAAATGAAAACCTCTGGAGGTTATGTCTCAAGTCTGAGAAATTTTAATGGGCTCTGATGGGATGAACTAGAGCAGGAAAACCAGTAGATTTCACATTGGAATCAGTGGGCAAACTCTCCCATCTGTGGGCTGATTCTGACTGTATTCCTTTGCTAGGGCAGCTCTAACAAAGTATCACAAAATTGAGTGACTTACACAACAGAAACATATTGTCTCACGGTTCCAGAGGCTAGAAGTTCAAGTTCAAGGTGTCAGCAAGACTGGTTCCTTCTGAAGCCTGGGCGGAAGAATCTGTTCCATGCCTCTCTCTCTTAGCTTCTGGGTGTTTGCTCTGAATCTTTGGTGTTCATTGGCTTGCAGATGCTCAGCCCATCTCTGCTTTCAAGTTCATATAGCATTCTTCCTATGGTGTGTCTGTCCCTGTGTCCAAATCTCTCTTCTTTTTTGGAAATAAAGATATCATTATTATAGGGTTATGATCTCCGTCTAACTTGATTACCTCTATAAACACCGTATTTCCAAGAAGGGTTACATTCTGAGGTACTGGGGATTAGGGCTTCACCATATCTTTTGGGGGGGACATATTTCAACCCATAACACTGACCAAGTAGGAGAATTGGTTGGGGAACTGTAGAAAGATAGTAGATTCTGATCTGAGAGTTCAAAATTTGAGTGCTGCTTCTGACCTGCTTTCAAAACTCTTAAGATAACATTTGGAGGGACCCTTGGGTGGCTCAGTCAGTTAAGCCTCTGACTCTTGATTTCAGCTCAGGGTCCTGGGATCAAGGCCTGCATCCAGCTCCATACTCAGTGGGGAGTCTGCTTGGATTCTCTCTCTCCCTCTCCCTCTTCCTCTATCCCTCACCTACTCATGCATGTGCACATGCACTCTCACTCTCTCTCTCTAAAATAAATAAAGAAGTCTTTTCACAAAAAAGATAAAATTTGGGAATTTCTGGAAAAGAAACACAAAAACTCACACGTATAATAGAAAGATCCAACCATGAGACATAGATAACTCTCAGAAATAAAATTCTGGGGGAACCCCGGGTAGCTCAGCAGCTTAGCGTTGCCTTTAGCCCAGGGCCTGATCCTGGAAACCCAGGATCGAGTCCCACATCAGGCTCCCTGCATGGAGCCTGCGTCTCCCTCTGCCTGTGTCTCTGCCTCTCTCTCTGTGTGTCTCTCATGAATAAATAAATAATCTTTTTAAAAAATAAATAAAATTCTGGTAACACAAGTAAAAGTGATCCTGAAGGAATCATTCTGTCTGCAAAGAGAGCTCTTTGGTTAGTTCTTACTATAAGGAGTCATTGGTGGTGGAAGAACTGTTGATGGAAGGGGTACAGAGTCAACAAAGAATATAACTTGTAAAAGAAAGCTAAGAGTGAAGCTTGGAACATCTTATAAAAATTCTAAGGGCAATGAAATGAGCTTTGTTACACATGTAGAGAAAGAAGAACAAATGTGGAAGAGGTGATGGATGTTAACTAAGCTTACTGTGGTGATCATTTTGCAATATATACATATATGGAATCATTGTATTGTATACCTTAAACTTCTACAAGGTTATATGTCAAATATACCTCAGTAAGGGTGGCTCAGTTGGTAAGCATCTGACTCTTGGTTTTGGCTCATGATCTGGGGGTCATGAGATCAAGCCTCATGCTTTTAACATGGAGTCCTCTTGAGATTCTTACCCTTCCCCTGCTCATGCACTCTCTTTCTCTAAAAATAAATTAAATTTAATTTTTAAAGATAAAATAAAAATTTATTTTTAGAGACAGAGAGCATGAGAGTGCATGAGCGGAGGGAGGAGCAAAGGGAGAGGGAAAAGTAGATTCCCCACTGAGCACAGAGCCTGATGTGGGGCTGGATCTCACAACCCTGAGATCATGACCTGAGTTGAAATCAAGAGTCAAATGCTTAACCAAGTTAGTCATCCAGTTGTCCTAATAAATAAATATTTAAAAAACCCTACAAATATACCTCAGTAAAATTGGAAAAGAAAATGTGAATGGAATAAAGAAAGGAAAATATTGATTTTTGTTTTTAGTAAATGATTTTTATTATAAAGAGACAAATGTAGTAGAGACACCACATGAAACAGAAGATACATCAGTAGATGATAGTAGACATCTGTCTATTTTGTTATGAATTCTTTAATGAAAGAATAAATTTCAAATTGTAAAAAGGCAGCTCAAAGATAGGGAAAAAGGAAAAGAAGTCAAATATAGATGAGATGACAGAGAGAAATCACCTAGTTGTCTTAAATGAGTTAAAATATTTACACTACACGAGGTGTTTGTAAATTTTTTTCCATAAAGGTGATATTTTAGATTTTGTGGGCCACATGGTCTTGGTTGCAATGACTCAACTCTGTCTTTGTATTGTGAAAGTAGCCATTGGTGATTTGGAAATGAACAGATGTAGCTCTGTTTTAATGAAACTTTATTTATGAAACAGGCACCTAGCCAGATTTGGACTGCACTGTAGTTTGGAGATCCCTGCACCAAAGCAATGACAACCCCAGAAAACTGAGAGAATCATTGTCGGTCAACACTGAGCCCTGCAGGAAAGAGGAAATACCCAGAATCTGGATAATAGCAGAGGATAAGAAGAGGTGATTTTAAAATTTACAATCTATTTAGTTAATCTTGATTTCTGGCACATTTCCAGAACAAATTATTAGATAATCCCATTCAACAAATATTATTTGAATACTTACTGAGCACTATATTCTCAGTTGCAAATACAACAGAGATAGCGTTTGTCCTCAAAGAATTTTAAGTCTCAAGGAGAGAGCAAGTGATGTTGTAAGAAGTGGTGACTTCAGGGGTATTGAATGTTCTGCAAAGGGAAAGGTATGGGGCAAATGGTCTAAACAGATCTAACGTTATTGGAAGGGGGGGCATTCAGAAGCCTCCCTGAAAAACTTGAAATCTGAAGTTTGAGGATTTAGGCTAGAAAGGGGGACAGGGTAGGAAAGCATACTAAACAGAAGGAAGGACTCATGTAAAAGCCCAGCACCCGAGGGAATCCTCAAGGCATCCAAGTAAATGCAAGTAAATCCAAGTGTACGAATGGCTGGAAGAGAGAGAGAGAGAATGGAACAGGGCCAGCTGAGCAGCAGGTCACAGGCCAGGACTGTGGCCTTGGTTCTCTCTGCTACGCTGGCCTAGCAACACTAAAAAGAGTGGAAATGAAATGATCGACAAAACTTTGTTCTTTGTAAGATTGTATAGGCTCCAGTTATCACATTCCTCTTCCAGACATTCAAAAGCCAACCTCTTAGCTGCTCCTCCTAATCCCAGCTCCTTCCGATCACACCCCACCCCATGCAGCTCTAAAATTCAACTCTGAGTATAGCACACCTACGCTTAATATCCTACAATGGATTACCATGCTCCTTGGGGCTTCATATATTTGGCTTTTAACAAGGCATTTAATTCAGTCATTTATGATGTCTTTGGGCAAAAAATTGAATTTATAGCTGGATATAGAGACTTTAATGGAATACTGTTAACAATCTTTAATGGATCATCACAGGCTCATGTAAACTCCTCTGAAGTTATGGCATCTAGACCACGTGGCCTGCAAGATCTCTATATCAGGTGAATATAAGAAAGAATCACACTGGCTCTTTAATGACTTGACCCAGAAGTGACATCACCTTCATTCACAATCTATTGGCCAAAGGTAGTCATATGACTCCAATCCAATTACAAGAGAGTCTGGGAAAAGTAGGGGAGGACATGGCATATTTGGCAAGAACTGTCTTTGCTACAGTGTGCTTGTTGAGTTTTCACAAAACATGGGAGGCTAGTTAATATGCACAATAGGAGACTTAATATTAAAAAACCACCTTAAGTATGTAGAAGAATATATCTAAACTCACAAAGAGATATTTAGGAGGATTCAATATAAAATCCTATACCTAAGTTAATTTTAAAATGAACCATTCTAGTACAAGGCGAAAAGTAACTTACTTGACATATTTCAACTTAAAGATAAACATACAAATGGTTTTAATTTACTACATACACAATATAAATCATCAGGGTCTGCCAAAGAAACCTAAAGTAATCCCAGTAGCATTAGTGGATGTATAGAGTTTACTATAAGGTGGATAACAATTGCCTTATTCTCTTGGCTGGCTGGAACAGGCCTGCAAGTGGGTTTGGCATCAGGGGCTACATTTAAAGAAGAAATCTAAGAATCTAGAAGGAATCCAGAGCAAGGTAAGTTGGATAGTAAGGTTTGCTGAAAGATATGGGGAAAGCACTAGACTGGAACTAAGAGATCTAGGTTCAAGTTCTGGATTTGCTACTTCTAGGTGACTCTGGGCAGAACCCACCCACTGCCAGCTGTACTTCAGTCCTCTAGATCCCATCTTCCTCCTGGGTAAAGAAGATGATCTAGTCTTGAATTTCTGAAGTCCTTTTCAATTTGAAAGTTTGGCACCTATGACATTATGCCATCTGAGAACAGTTGAAGGAATCTAGGGATGTGTAGCCTACAGCAGGAAAGACTGAAAGGGGACAGAAGCTGTTTTTAATTATTTGAGGGATTGCCATGAGAAGAAGGAATGAGATTGCTCTGTATGTCATGCAAAAACAGACCTATAGTCAGAGGGAAGAGGATACATGGCATATTCTGATCACTGGGACTTCCTAATGATGCAATGGGCTTCCGTGGGATCAGTGACCATTTAGCAGAAGCAGGATATCAGTTCCCTTCCAGCCCTTCCAAAAGACTTGGCCCAATCATACACCAATAAGTTCTTGGAAGAACTTCTAAGAATCATTCAATAAGTCACATATATGTAGAGATACTTCTGCTCCTTGATTTTGCCACAGAACTACCTTCAGGAAATCATAGGCAGCTCTTGGAGCAGTGGAGGTGAACTAATTCTTCCTCTTTTATCTTCTTGTCTGGTGTCCTATATGACCAAAGGGAGCCTATGAAGTACAGCCAGCTAGAGAGGAAGAAGGGTAGGATTTGTCATGGAATAGTGCAATGCTGATGGCCACATGATCAAAACAGGGCTGTGGCCTCCTTGGTCCTTTGAGCTAACCAAGATGCAATGCTGTTTGAAGGATTGTAGGGAGGAAATTATGGCCGCAGTTGAGTTAATCCTGGAATGATTTAATTCCAGTGGAAAGTAGCAGAAGGCTAGGAGGCCCATAGATAGCCTATTTAATGGCTTCTCCTCTTCATGGTGATCTTATAAAAAACAAAACAAAACAAAAGAAAGCTGATCATATCCTTCCACCAATATTCTCCAACTGCACCTATGATAATATCCTAACTCTGTATCATGACTCAAATGGTTTCATTCCTGCCCTTCTCTCCAACAGTTACTTTTTGAGGGCAAAAATGTTCTCCATGTCCTGCTGCATCTGCAGTGTTGAGAA